AAGTTCATTTCTTTGTCTAGAGCAACCTATAAATATGTTAAACACACTAGTGAATTACTGCCTCGGTGAATAAATACATTTAGTGATTTCAGGGGGCCGCCAGGAATTTTGGGCCTCATGACAAAAAAAATGATATTGTCCCCCTCTGGGCAGCTGTTGTCACTCATCAAAAGCTTTACATAACTCTAATTAAAGGCTTGCAAGTGTCAGTTCACTATTTGCATCTCAAATAAATTGCCCTTCATGGTGGGAATAATAAAGTCTGTATCTATAGATGTCATGAACATAATTTGTGTTTGAATTTCTGTCATTAAGAAATATTTCATTGTCTTTTTGTGTTATAGTAAAAAGAGCAAGAGAGAGGAATCCCCACCGAGTCCCTGGAGTGATGCTCAGTAACACAGTGTTGCTCACCTTCTTCACCGGGACAGGGAGACAACAGTTATGGGGAGACTGGGCTGCTGCTGACTCAACTGGTGTTAGTCTGCTAAAAGGGGCAGGGACAACAAGTTAATATGAATATCTTGCTAAATGTTTCCCTGTACTGATTAAATGTTGATGAAATGTAGGCTAACACTAGTCTGTAGCTAGCTTATTTCACTGTGGACATTAAGCCAACAGGTCAACACCACTCACAGACTAAAGGCTGCCCACCTTTCTTGGTGAAAAACTGGGTTACAGATTGACATCCTGTCCTGTCTCTTTTCTCTCTTACCTTTTTGTTGAGTTTGGTTTACAAGGCAACATTGTGACTGTAGACTGTCTCATCTACTGACTGCAGCTAAACACTGTCACTGATGAGTGTGCTGAGGCAGGACCATGCATATATATATATATATATATATATATATATATATATATATATATATGGTCGCTCAATATGGAGGTTTACTTTTTGGTCAATAGGGATTTTTAACTTTTACTGCCAAAAACAATTAAAAACATAATTTATTTTTTTATATTTGAAATATATTTATACTCAATGATGATGGTTTATCTAATGTAATATAACTTAATATTAGTTTATAATTATTTTGGGGGGGCCCTGTCAGTCAGAGGCCCTTGGAATTGTCCTAACTTTTCCCCCCTATATGGCGCCCATGGGTACAGGTAACATGGCAAAGTGATGTCCTCACCGACCAATGTTGTATTTTCTTATCTTGTAGTAGAACACAATGCTTCAGAAGTTGATATAATACTTAGCTCGACTAACATTAGTTCATTATTACTTAACACTCAACTGTGTTAAGTAATAATTCAGTATTCAATAATCAGTTTTGCAGATATTTAGTCATAAACCAAAGAATTAGATGGAAAGTTACTGGATCAAAAGTGTTACTAATTACTAGTTACTATTAATATTAACAAGGAAATGTGTGTGTATCAATTTTAATGGCAATCCATCCATTAGTGTCTCTCTCTCTCTCTCTCTCTCTCTCTCTCTCTCTTTCTCTCTCTCTATCTCTCTCTCTCTCCCTCCCCCCCCTCTCTCTCCCTCCCCCTCCTTCACCCCAACCGGTCGAGGCAGATGGCCGCCCACCCTGAGCCATGGTTCTGCTCGAGGTTTCTGCCTCTTAAAAGGAAGTTTTTCCTTGCCTCTGTCGCCTAGTGCTGCTCTTGGTGGGAACTGTTGGGCTTCTGTAAATAGCATCATAGAGTACGGTCTAGACCTGCTCTTTTATGAAAAGCGTTGTGAGATAACTGTTGTTGTGATTTGGCGCTATATAAATAAAATTGAATTGAATTGAATTGAATTAGTGGTGAAGATATTTAGTCAAAACTACAAATGTTAACCTCATGGTGGCGCTAGATAAAAGTGTTTGGGTCACCAAAGTCAATTAGGTTCACCGTGTGGAATGAACGTTTGTGTCCAGTAGATGTAGAAAGTTCACAAGGTATGACAACTTCAACCTGCTGCCGGTGCTGCATGAAGTTTACCAAAGTTATAAAATGTCATCTGCTGGTGAGCATTAATGTGGAACATTTCTTGAGGATCCATCTTTTCCTATCCAAGAGACTGAAAAACAAATGATCATAATCAAAATGTAAAAAACTAACTACAACAACCAGCGGTATATATATAAATGAGATGGCCAACTTGTTATAAATGGGCTAACTGGGATGGTATCTGAATTAAGTCAGAAAGTCACTCTGCTAACATGTTCATACAGCTGGGTGCTCCTTGACAATCTACCACAGGCTGATCTCTCAGCAACTGAGTGTTACAGCGGCTCAGAGGCCTAACCCTAACGCTAAAGCAAATAAGGGTGGGAATCACCAGAGGCCCGACAGCACAGTACGATATTATTGCGAAACTGATATCACAATACGATTGTATTGCGATTGTAAACACAATGCAAAAATTTGCAATTTATTATCCTTCCTTCAAACTTCAAAATGTGTCCCCATCATAAAAGATCGGTACTTGGCGTTCATGTGTCGATACAGTATTGCCACAGAAAATATTGCGATACTATGCTGTATTGATTTTTTACCCCCACCCTTAATAGCAAATAAGGGAAATACATGTGAGGGATTAACAGAGACTTGTATTTAACTCATTTTAAGATTGATTGAAAGAAAACCTTTTTCAATTATATGTAACACAAACTGTTCATTTATATTGCTCACTCTGTCAATATAACTGTTGACATACAGGTTATCAGTAAATTATTACTACTTTAATCTGAATTAAGCAGTCAGACTGATGATGATGATGATGTTTCACTTGAGATATGAATACTTTTATAGCTAGAAGACCTGCAATGAAATCAAATTCCTTTTCATTTTATGTCTCAAGCTCAAATTCTCACTATTTTCAATTTGTCAGTTTTAATTGTTAAACTTTCCTGCACCTGAATTGGGCACAGTTGATATTGGGTAATCCCCAGAATGAGAAAATTGTGTTAAGTTAACTTTTTATTCTTATTTTAAAAAGACAAAGTCTGCAGAGTTTGGCAGAGCAGAGCTGTGTTATTATGACATCTCAAAGAATTACAGAATTTCCCCTCGGGGATCAATAAAGTATTTCTGATTCTGATTAGCAACTTCTAAATTAAAAATGTGGCTTTTTGGTAAATAAACATTAATGGAGCAGAACACAAATGTCCTCTTGTGTACACATCTTCACATGTTTTATTATGTTAAACCAAAAATAATTTTAATAACGGAGGAAATGTTGCATTCAGTGATAACAGGCATTGTCACCGTCACAGAGCAGAGCCAACAATATAAATATCTGCTCTGAAGCTGACCTATCAGAGCAGAGCTGGACAACACTGTCAGATACTGAGAGTAAAAACAACTAGAAAGGCTGCGTGGAATTTCCCCCTTTCTGGTTTATGTATTCCTGCAAAATGTGCTCATAGTTATCAATGTTAATTCACTTGTGGTACAACTGATCACAAAACTCACAGTTCGGATCTAATTAAATTTATTTTATGCGCTACAGGCTCTAATGTTAATGTTATTGTAAATGTTAATGTCTAATATTACAAAACCATTATTCACATATGTAGCCCGTGGAATTAGATGCCACACAGGACACAATTACTTCAGGGGTTCTTGTAGCTCCAGGTTTATTCCTGACCATATGTACCGGTAAATTTACAGAGTGGTATGCTACTGAGTCTGTTGAATTTTGTAACAGTCTCTAACACCCAAAAATGTTAGAGACGGAAGAGGCAAAATAAAACAAAATACAATAAAACGGCAGTGGGCTACGACTATCGACAGAAAACATCCAATAAATCATGTTAACAACCATAAACCCACTTACATCAACATCAGTGTAATAGATGTACACTTCACCAAGTTCCACCAAACCCACGTGGAACTTCCCTGAGATCGCACAACTCAACGTACTTTCAACTTCAATTACCTTCAAACAGAGTTACACTTTATGTAAAACCTTTATGTAAAACAGTTTTCAAGCAAAATACAATGTCAGGGTATGACTCAATGCATGCTAGCATTACCATGAAATTTAGTACACAATGGTCGACGATTGGCGCCCAAAATCCCAGCACACAATTCCAGTAGTGCCTAAATCAAACCATCTTGTTAAAATATTGACTGGTGATTCCATTTATACACTTGTACATGAATATTTTACAAGATGCATGCATTTAACTACTGTCCTACACAACGAAGACTCCGCATCAATCCCTTGTACGTCCATCGCACGTTACAGGAAGAAAGACCATGATGCACTTGGTGGAACAACAACAATGCTACTCAATTCAATTCAGTTCAATTCAAATTAGCTTTATTGGCATGAATGTAATAACAACATTGCCAAAGCATCATATATACACAACATAAGAATAATCAGCCCCATACATTTCATTAAACAATTAAAGTGTAAAGTAATCAAAGTGTATGTGTGTTTGTGTTTAAAAAAAGAAATATTAAACATTAAAAATAAAATAAATAAACAAACAGTAAGCGTGTGTGTATGTGTTAAAAAATAAAAATATATTAAAAAATAAAATAAATAAATAAAACAGTAAGCGTGTGTTTGTTTGTTTGTGTAGTGTTATATAAAATTAAAAAATTAAATAAATAATAAAACGGTAAGTGTGTGTATATATTAAAAGACAAAAAAATTAATTAATTTAATTAATTGATAAAAAAATAATAAAAGAAAAAGAAGTCAGTGTCAATGTAAAAATAGAACAATTACTAAAATATCAAATGATGTTGTTGTCCTCACTTCATGGCATGAGGAGACATATTTTGCAGCAATTATTTCGCATTTGGGCATTTCTCCCAGTAAATAGGGGAGTTTTCACACTACTCAATGCTGCCACCTTGTGACCAAAGTCTGCCATCACATGTATGACAATTTTTGTTCGCACCAGAACAATAATTGTTAAAAGACAAATATTTTGGGTTATACCAGGAGATCAGGTGATTATTTGAATTAAGCTAATTAATTAATTAATTAATTAAGTCCTGGGTCACCATGAGACCCGAGGTATGCACGGAGTATTTTTTTAGGATGTTTTACTTTTAATTATTTGAATATTTGGATGGACTAAAAGCGTATTTTTTGTTTGGTAGGTGGGTCAAAGAACCAGGAGTTATCACCAGGTACTAGTTTCGTTTTCTGCCATAGGAAAACCTTCCTGAAGGCCGTCTTCGTTGCTTGTTGCGTCTCTCTTTTTGTCCTGCACATGTAAATATAAACACAACAAGTTATTAGTCAGTGCTTTCCAAGGCTCATGAGCATTTTGATCTTTGTCCACTCTGGTCAACACATCTTTATATACATTTATATAAGTTAAGCTCTGTTGCAGTTATGATTAAAGAGTAGCCTTCAACACAATCTCCTGCAGCAAGATTTGAAAAGTGTGATTATTTAATCAACCCAGAGAAATCAACATTGAGTAATGAAACTTTTTGTAAATGACAATGAGAAACTACATGTAAAGTAGTTTGTCCCAGATCAACCTGACATCAAACAGACAGCCGGATAATGAGAAACGTAAGACAAGCTTCTGATTGGTACCGCAGAAAGACTAGATGGAAGCAGTCATGCAGATTTATCCTTTTTTTTTTAAACAGCAGGGTCACAACAGCACATTCACAGTTAGTAAGGTGTAGCTACATCAGGTCAGCACAGAGCAGTCAGAAGTTTAGTCAAGAGTTTAATTATATTCTTTATACATTATGAACTTTCCTAGAAACATTTATGACCTACATTTAATTATATCTGTACAGATAATTATTTAATTCTAAATAATTATTTTTTAACTAGATCATTTTTAATGCCTATGAAAATCTTTTAAATTCTGATGAATTAATAACCCAAATAAAAAATCTGTTGTAAAGCATAAGCGACTTAGGCGATCGCCTAGGGTGCAAAATCAGGGGGCGCGTTTTGTGTGCGGTGTCCACTGGGACAAACCATATTTGGAAGTTCTACTTCCGTCACATCTTGTCAGGTCTGCGGGCTGCAGCTGGATATACTTGGACTCAGCAGGGATTTTATTAAATTGCCACCTGCATCTGATTTTTGTGTTTCCCTTTACATAAATTAAGATCTTTCCACCATAAATTGGTGCAATAATTTCACCAGAATGCAGGAAATGAAATGAAGGCGCCAATTTGAAATCTCTCCTAGGGTCCAATGTTGTCAGGGTGGCCCTGCTTTCACGCATCTTTTGAAAAATGTTTACAAATACTTGAGCTAACAACTGTACAGGTGATTAGGGTAGTCACTAATCAACTGTTCATACCACCTTTAAAAAGTAAAAATAATCTGAAACATACAGGAGTGATATAGCCTCTTAGCCTGATTTTATCCTAACACATATAATAATAAAGGTTCCTTGATTATTGTTAAGCTCATTTTAGTTAAAACTGCCACTGTGTGAGCTCACCTTGTCTCACGTCCTCAGTAGGAGATGAAGAGGGATCGGCTGCTGCTCCAGTGATAAGGTCATCCATTGCTGGGTAATGATGATAGATATAATGTTATATGACATTGTAGCTATAATGCTGATTAATTTATGTTGCTGATAATAATTTATGTTCTAGCCTACAATATCAATATGAGTCAAGCTAGATATTCCTCACTGACTGCCTTCAATCTGGTCTCTCAACCAATTTATTCAGCCAATTTTATTGTAGTTATGATATATACTTGTTAGAAATAAAACATTGCAAACAAAAGCAAACTTTTGATTACAGGCTTTTCGAGGGCCCTCCCTAATTGGGGCCCGGATAGTCAGTCCCCACCATCACAACCACCTCACTACAACACCTGATCAGAGCTACAGAAGATACCTGTTTCTTATGTCTAAATTGCAAAATATTTTATCTTCTTTTAAAATGTGTTTAATTTAGAAACAACTGATATACTTATCAGAAACTCAATAGTTAAATAAACTATGACTAAGTATCTAAGTAAGTCTTTCCCACTGATGGAAGGCAACGGTCGAGGCAGATGGCCGCCCACCCTGAGCCATGGTTCTGCTCGAGGTTTCTGCCTCTTAAAGGAAGTTTTTCCTTGCCTCTGTCGTCTAGTGCTGCTCTTGGTGGGAACTGTTGGGCTTCTGTAAATAACATCACAGAGTACGGTCTAGACCTGCTCTTTTATGAAAAGCGCTGTGAGATAACTGTTGTGTGATTTGGCGCTATATAATAAAATTGAATTGAATTGAATTAAAGAGCGTAAGTTTTCTTTACATATTGTGAACATATATGAATATTGCATCAGGTTTTGTAAATATAATCATTCCCCTTGTAAATAAATGTAATGTGATATGAACACAAAGAAGAAATAAATGTTATACTAAAAAGACAACATTTAGGAGATGCCCAATTGTTTTACACAGACCGCTGAAGCTTCATATGAGCTTTAGATAAACTTTTGATAAAGGAGCTGAAACTCACTATAAAGCTTCATAAAGCTGAGGGGAGCTGCAGATTTGATTATCAGGTAAGTAAAATAGAAGTCAAGATATTTACTTACCGCACCATCAGTCAGACTTCCCTCATTGCGTTCTGTCTTTTTCTCTGTTGAAAATGTTGTTAAATTGTTATTGTGTCCATTGTGTTTAGGTGCTAAAATATTTTTAACACATAATGAATTAGTAATGTTTTCTTTTATTTAATTTAATTTTCAGTTCTATTTATGGATTGATTCATCTCTCCGCACTTTATTTAACTACCTTTATTATTTATTTGTTTTTGTGGGACAGGCAGCAGCTTATTTCAGCCTTCAAGTGAGCATCTGTATTCCAGCGTTAAGGCTTACAGAACCTGTTACACTTCACATGTGGCAGCTGACTATTGTTTTAAGACAGACTTTAAAATGTGAACCTTTACTTTTAAATAGGGAAAATGAAGAGAGTAGAAATGTGCTACTTACTTTTCTTCAGTAATACAGAAACAACAACAACAACAACAACAACAACAACAACAACAAAAACAACGGCAGCAACAGTAATATTACTAATGCCAGCAGTGCCAGTGTCAGCACCTGAAAGAAAAGAGGAAAGATGTTCAGTTAAGATTTGTTTTTCACTGTGGGCTTTCAAAATAACATCAACACCTGCTGCTCCTGTTTCATGGTCACAAAGCAGACTTGCACAGACCGGCGACCATCCTGCCAGAACTGTTTGTTAATCTGTTTCATTACACAACAGTTTTACTGTTTAGAAATGCATCCTGACATATAAGAACAATCAGCTCAGAAAAATACTGAACCAAAATTGGTTAATTTGAGTTGCAAAGTGCTTCACAGTTTCAAAATACACAAAAAATGTATTTGAGTAACAATTCAAAACTCTGATAACTGAGTTCTGAACACAACACTGACAAATTGAATTTGACATGTGAACTTTGGCAAACAGTTATTTACTAGGGGCGTGACGACCTCACATTAAAGTGTGTAAAAAGCGAGACTTCACACGCTGTCAAGCCACACATTAATTTTCTCAAGCACTGAAATACAGATGTATAACTCATAAGACTCAAGGAGTGAATCGACTCCGGCATACGCTGTGATTGTAATCAGTTGGACCCGTTGGAGCTTTGAGTCCAGGTGTGACAAGTGGTAACGTAGCTGGTAGAGTTTTGCAACATAAACATCTAAACACTGAAGCACAACTTAGCTCTGTTTGGGACTGTGAGTTTCAGAGCCGCTGAAGTTAACGTGTGGATCTGCAGTGAGATTTCTGCCTGATCAAAAGTGTTTCAGTTACTTTCGGTTTCACTACTGTCCCAAACTGTGTTGGTCAAAAGGTCTGAAGAGGATAACGTTACTACCAGCGGATTAATAACGTAATGCACAGCAAGTGAAGGGCAGGTAGACTTCTTATCAAATGATGACGTCAGTGTGGTAATATTCTACCTTTTCTCTGGACATGTGATTGACATGATATAATTTATCCTTAAGGTGAAAAGGTACCACAATCATTTAAAGAGGTTACTTCCGCAAACAAAGACACAAAGACGAGGGAAGACTAAATCATGACTCAGCAAGGATATTAAATAAGTTGATCTACAGCAGAAACAGATCTGAAAGCAGCACAGAATGAGTGAGGTTGCACTGACTTAAATTCTGTTACAGTTAGGCTACAGATTTTGAATCGTCACCTGCTACCTGAATTTTGTGTTTCTCTTTATATAAATAAATTTTAAAGATCACCAAAAACTGGTGCAGAAAAATTCATCAGAATGCAGGAAATATAGATAAATGTTTAAGTAATTCAGCATTAAAGATTTCTTCAAAATGGTTTTAAAATCTCGTCTCGTCTCGTGGGTTAAGTGAATCGTCTCACCCCTATTTACACATCCAGCATTTACAGATCAAAATTATTTCATGTGGAGTCGTGTTTGTGTCACCTTACAAATGAAAGTCAAATATTAACTCTCTTTTAGTTCCATTTTGGTCTCCACCACCTCCTGGGGAAAACTAAGCTATGAGAGAGGTAAGAGTAAACCAGTAAATGTGCAGACAGACTGATGAACAATGAGCTAAAACCCAGTAGAGCCAAGGGGAGCTGCAGTTATTCATCAGTTAAGTATTAAAGGTTCATCACTAACAGAGACACCTTTCCCAGTGTCAAATTGTCATTTGACGTTATTATAAAATATGAACTAGTGACTGTAAGGACAGCTAGAGCTCAGTCTTAAACTGAGTTCAATCCTTAAATGTGACTCCAGTATAACACATAATGAACTCTTATCATCTGTGACACACCGATAAACGTAAAAACTGTCCTCAACACCCCAGCAGAAGGTGCTTTAACACCTGACTACTTTACTAAAAAAAGTTTTTTATAGGAATGAAAGACTTATCTTGAGAAGCTGCAGAGCTGCAGTCTCTATTCATTCAACTCACACTGTAAATGTCCACCTAAACTGGGGCTTATTGTTGAACCTTTTCTCCCTCTCTCACCTGCTATTCACGGTCTTGTGTAGAGTTTAGCGTGCATGCCGTGCTGCCGACAACTGCACGCAGGTTGCGGACAGTTCCTTGTGGGTCTATTTCAAGCTGCTGTTTAAAAAAGCTAAAATACTCTTTGTGCGGTTAATCAACGGTGATAAAAACACGTTAACACGTATAAATGTGTAATGTTTTCTTTTCTTTAATTTTAATTTTCAATTCAATTTATGGATTGATTTATCTCTCCACACTTTATTTAACTATCTTATTATTTACTTATTTTTGTGGGACAGGCAGCAGCTTATTTCAGCCTTCAACTTTTCTGCAGTTTATCAATGTGAAATGAGCATCTGTATCTTCCAGCATCAAGTCCCGTGAGTGCGGACAACTCGGCACAACACCAGTGAAGCGGGGCTCCGTCTCTTCTGCCACTACACACACACTACGCCTACACATATGCACTGATGAGGGTTAGGATTACAATTTTGGATTATTCAAGCACTTTGATGTTGAACACCCCATATCGCCAAAATGGCATGATCCCTGTTTCACTGCGAAGCTTAGACTGTGAGATTGACAGTCGAATCGGTCCCATCGAATCTTCGACTATTCGGGGTCAGTCCTACATAGAAGTCAAGATATTACTTACTGCTGTCATTAGTCAGACTTCCTTCATCGCGTTCTGGCTTTTCTCTGTTGAAAATGTTGTTAAATTTTAATTGTGGTTCATTGTGTTTAAGTGCTAAAATAGTTTTAACATGTTACAAATATTTTATATTTTCTTTTATTTCATTTAATGTGTATCAGCTTTAGCTGTACTCACCAACAATGAGCATAACGTAGCCTTCTCTGAGCTGACTTCCCAGTTTGGGAACAAAGCAGGTGTAATTTCCTTCATCCTGTTCAGTGACGTTGGTCAGTTTTAGTGAAATGTTTCCTCTGGACATTTCATCACGGAAGAGAGATGTTCTACCTTTAAAATTTTTCTCCTGATCAGCTAGATAGTCCGTCCTATGTCTATAGAGGTGCACAATGCCTTCATGGTATTTCCACTCCACCGTTAGAGTCGTCATGTCAAATGGGGGCTCCAGGTGACATGGCAGAATGACATCTTCACCAACAACTACTTTAACTGGTTCATGTGAGCCAATCACAGCAGACTCTCCTGTGGAAACAAACATCGCATTTAGACTTCATGTTGCAACATCATTAAGCAATTGTTCTGAAGTTAATTAAAACTAGGAGGCTGAGCAACAGCTGTTCCTAACTGACCATTCGCTAAGCCACGCCCCCCACTTACTGTTACTAAGTCCCACATTATCACAGGGCTGCCACTGTCTATAACTGCACTCCCTGGAGAAATATTGTCTAAATTTGGAAAAAGGAAGAAGTGTTCTCAGAAAGGAGACCATATATTACTTAGTATTTGGTTTGATTTCATTATCACTACTAATTTAATGCATATAATCATTTTTAATTATTTAGACTGTCATGGAGGAGTTCATTTAATCATATGTGTTAATACTGAGGAAATACATTTTGTCCTTCATCCCAGCTGCTTATCGGGTTGCTGGGGCGGAAAGTCAAGATAATCAGTGAGAGTCGGTGTCTGAAGTCACCAGCTTGTTTATCTAAAGAGCCGCAGGCGGGACAGCCGACCAGGAAATACATTCACAGGATATAGTGTGGCATTTAAAAGCAAAGTTATGTCACTTTGTGAAGAGGAACTGTTTGAGATTTTTGACTTTTGCAAGACGTGTATGTGAAAGGCTATGATGTTACATAACTATATGATAACTCGGATTCAGCAATCCAATAAACAATTCAAAGGAGTCTGAACGATGTTTAAAAAATTAATTAATAAAATGAATAAAAGATTAATAAAGATAGAGCAGCAGTAGTGGAGTGCAACCTTAATTTGAATTCATGTATTAGATGTGCACGAATCTGGTTTATTAATGAGAAAGACCAGTGATTTTTAACAGGAGGGCCTGCCTTTTTAATGAACAAACACTGTAAGCCATACCGTTACCTGATGTGAGAATAACCTACCTGGAGAAATAAACCCTGTTATTAATGTAACAAAAACTTACCTGCAGCGTCCACCAGAGAGAGAGAGGTCATGAAAACGAGAAACAACTTCATTATGGAGATAATTTAACTCTTCATGACAGAATATAAGATGAAATACGGATCATTTTAAAACACACATCTGACACGCTGGCAACTAATTTACTTTCTGTTTCTCCTTGATTGCTTCACCTCTAGGGTGTGGTGAGGCAGGAAGTACAGGCTTCACACGTTTTTAACTTTTACGTTTACGTTTTTTAGTCAACTCGACGTTTTCTGCAATGATTTGTGATCCTAATGTCTCCTCTAGTAGAGGAAAGATGAACCTAAAGGGTTTGTTTTGACTAAACCAAAACCAGCCTTCAATATCTGCAATGTGAATCTACATTTATTCACAGCTGGATAATACTAACTTATAGTATGCAGTTCACGTTCATGCAGTTTATGTGAAAGAGGGATTTTAATCAAGCAACATCATCAGAACAATACGAGAAATAATGTTCAATGAATTGAAATGGAACAATACCATCGCTTAATCACAATAGAATAAGAAGCTGCAGAAAGTAAGGCTA